TAGATGGTCAGGCACAGACCGAGCAGCAGCACGCCGTTGGTCAGCGCTCCCAGTATCTCTGCCCGCTGCCATCCGAACGTGTTGTTTGGAACCAGCTGCTCTGACTTTGCCACCTTTATAGCCCAAAGGGCAATGACCATGCCCAGCACATCATTGAGCATGTGAAACGAGTCAGCAATTAGCGTAATTGACCCGGCGACAATCCCCACGACCAGCTCGACAAAGAACATGGTTGCGCTGAGGAAGAGCATAAGCCCCACCTTTGTTGAGCGCGACAGTTTTAACATTGTGTCGTTAGAGAAGAATTTGGTTTTGAAAGGAGGAATAAAAATTGAGACGGAGAGAGAAAGAGAAAGAGAAAGAGAAAGAGTCTCACAAGGTTTCGGGCTACTAGCAGGGGGTGAGAATATGTTTTAAGGGGGCTGCCCCCTCGTTCCAGCAGACCTCTTGCAGCCTGTCTTTGTAAGGGGTGTATGCTGGGCACTGTACAAACTCCAGGCAAGTGCGAGTAAAAGGAGCCTTATGAGAATAGCAGATATCGTAAAGGCCCGGACAAATCAATGCCAACCAAATCGCATAGTGAGCAACTCCCGCAGTGATGTGCACAGATGTGTTGTACAGCCAAACAAGCTTGAGAATGGGCCCCGCGCAAGCAAACTGTGCATAAAAGCTACTCACGCTGTCCACAGCAATATCAGCGGCCTCATCGAGCTCCGAAGTATCTGGTATAAACCAAGCTGAAACAAGACACTGTGCACTTTTCAGTATCTGGACAACCAGCACAAGCGGCAAACTGACATGTCCAATACTCAGGAATCGTAGATGTTGCAGGCGTATTGGCTCTGTTATCAGTGATGTATCAATAGTGCAGCAATACTTAATGTTTAGATCTACGTCAAGCGTCTCAACAAGGGGCGACATTTGCAAGACACCGGATAGCATCATTTCAAGCATGCCAGCTCTGTATTCGGCGTCAGTCAATTCCAGCATCAGCTCCACACTTTTGGCTTTGAGAAGCCCGGATCTGGCAAGTGTCAAAGTGCCCTGTCCACTAACACACACATTAATAGACTTTACATACTTTTGACATGCTTTCAGCACGAATTCTGTGTTTAGAGGATATTGACTGCATGTAGTCAAATTCGTCAGCGCTGGGAAGGGGTTACCTTGTAGCTCAACCAAGTCTGTACTCTGTCGTATGGAAAAGTCGACGCATTCAAATCTCTCAAGTGCTGAATACTGGACTTCAGCATCGTCATTATCTTTAAATATGCGAGGAGTAAGTCTAACTTCATAGTCTTCAACGCTTAGCTGCTTCAATGTAGAACGATTGCGCCGAGCCAACTCTGCTAAAATGTGCTCACTACAATCGCCACGCATAGCTAGCATGGATAGGTTTGTAATTGCAGGAGGGGTTGCAAAAGTAAAGCGGTTACTTGGCATGGAGTATGTTAGGCTGTGCTTGCCATGGAACAGCTCTTTGAGAATTAGTTTGTAGTGCTTTGATCTAATTGGAGAATACATTTCAACCGTGTTACCATGCTCGATGATGACCTCTTTTACATTAGGCAGCACAGCATTTACGTGCCTGATAAATTTTCTCGCGTTTGCAATACAGGTTGCATTGTTCGGGATGTTTGATGGGTCGCCTATGGACAACTCCACAGTAACTTTGGTGACGCTAGGGTAAATAGTACCAGTACATCCATCATCGTGCAGCATTTTTAGAGCAGTCCCATTGAGAATAAACTCGTATGATACATCGATATAAGCCATTTGCACTATTTTGTGGCAGCCACGAATTTCAACTGTGCGCAGAGGCAATCCTGCCATGAATGAGTAGTGTTGCCGGCCAAAGTCACTGCTGCAAACAATGTACATGTGCTTGGCAAGAACTTTTAAAGCAAGAATTCTTGACTGGTGGCACAGTGCATACATCTTGAAGACTATATCATTGGGATTAAATATGGATGCTCTGTTTCGAGTGTACAGCCTTTTCTGAAGGCTGCCCAAATCCTTTACAATAATGCGCACAATTATGTGCTCGGGAAGGTTTAACAAATGAGACATAATAACAAGATAAAAATAATTGAAGTGAAAGCAAAGCGAGTTTTATTCGTTTTGGAGGCAAACCATTCGAGTAAAGGCAAAAACAAATTGTTTGTCACAAAGGATGCTGCCCATTTCGCCAGCTCGATGCTATTTTTTAGTTTTCTCTTTTCTCTTCCATTTTATTTTATTTTAGTCAGTTATTCACATGCGCTACTTTATTATTCTCATTGTTATCGCCTGCCTCGGAACGCTTTGTCATGCAGCCCGTCGCGTCTACCTCAAAAATGAAGCTGGATTAAAAGAGATTTACAAGTCGGACAACAAAGAGTGCCACAAAGTCAGCTCCAACTTTGGCGGAAAGTCCAACAAGGCCGCTGCTACAGGAGGCCAAGTTATCTACTTCAAGGACGCAGCGTGCGAGAAGATTGTATTCACAGACCTTTATGGCAAGGGGTGCTACTTTACTGTTAAAGATTCAATCCAGTCATTTCGCGCCCTGTAAGAAAAATCAAACAGCAGTCTCGTGCCATTCAAACTCGGATGCGCGCAAATGGAAACTAGAAAGCTGTGTCAATCCCGCCTTTGTACCAAGAATCCTAGAAAGAAGTCTTGCCTAGAAACAGTTCACAACAACTGTTATCCCCACTTTTGTGTTTGGTATAAAATGCAGCCCATCTACCAGCAGGAGGCCGTTGTGCTTCTCCACTCGCTCCACTACATTTACTCTATTATTGTTACCAACATGCGTTACTTTTTCCTACTCGTTGTCCTTGGCTGCCTAGCGGCAATTTGCAATGCGTCCCGCAGTCTCACCCGTCTTGTTATCCTCAAAAACCCCGCCGGAAAAGTAGAGACATACTCATCGAACGACTCTCTCTGCCACAAAGTCAGCGCCAACTTTAAGGGAAAGCTAAACTATGCAGCTGTCTACGGAGGCCATACCATCTACTACAAGGACACAAAGTGCCAGAATATAGCCTATCTGGATCTCGACGGCAGAGGGCTCATGTTTACCGTGCAAAACCCCATCCAGTCGTACCGCACACTCTAAGCAAGTAGCAAGTAGAGTATTTACCCGCCTCATTGTATTGATTGATTAAAAATACAGTTGTTGTGACTGATAAGAACTTTGGTTGTACTAGATACAACAAAGACTACATAGAATAGTTGTCAAACTGTCTTTTTTAAATTCAGCTTGAAGCATGAATATCTCCACCGATCATGCTTCAATTGCTCTGCAACTAATTATTGGAGTAGTGTGGTGTCACTAAAACTACTTTTTTGTATTTATCTGTAATTTATCGTATTTTAAATAGGATATTGTTCAAGAGAGAGAGAGAGCATCGTAGTAGGGCTAGCCTCAGATGGCGCATGAGAGCGCACTATTCTAGTCGAGGTTCTTTAGTTCCACTATTGCTCACATTGCTCATCTACTCTTTATATTTCACCTCGCTTGACACAAGTTTCAACAAACGTGAAACGTTTTTAGCTACACAACCGATGTACGGCTCAGAGCCTCCAGTCGAGGCGTTGGTGCCAATGTACATTTGTCTACCACGCGTATATTGGCTAGCTTTTTTGATTCAAATAAGCGTTATCACAAAGTACAACGAAAGTGTTATTCAGGCGCCTCTTGCACTGCAATTATTAAATATCCAAATGTGAAAAGTATACTATATATATTAGTAGCTCCCAGATACATCTTCTGGATCTACGAGTACGTTAAGCTTTTTGCCCATCTTTCTTGACGCTTTGAAGAACGGGAGCTCGACTTTTCCAAGAAGCTTGTCATTGCTTTCCACATATCTGTCGCTTGCTAACAAAAGCGCCTGTTGTGCCTTGCGCTTAATATCGGCAGGGTTGTTGCATTGTCTTGCTTGTACATCAGTAAAATACAGGCTAATACCACTACCGCTAAATTTCTTTTTGTTAAAAACATAGGCGTGTTGCACAACATTCCATGGAGTTTTTAAAACACGCTCGGCAGACTTTGACTTTACTAGCATTGCCGAAGTGCCCTTAAAGGCAAATAGCTCGCAAGCTTTGTCAAGTAAAGCCTTTCCGGTAACAGGAAGGCTCTGGTAATAGCAGTATTTAATGCACTTGATTTCGTGTGGTTTGCTCATTACGTTGTAAAGACAGACTACCATGGGCTCATCCTCTATCGGTGATTTTTGGATGTACATAATAAGCTCTGAAGAAAAATTACACTTGTACTAATAATGAGTAAAACAAGCGGATAACAAGAAAAAAGCATTCATGTTTGCCCAAAAAAAAAAGTGAGCTTTCTAGTTTGTTTACTAAGCTGCGGCATTCCAATCAAAGAAAAATAAAAAAGGCAGTTTAAGGTGTCGTTTAAGTATATTTTTAACGCGCCTTTGAACACTTACAAACTATGCTTGGCGTTAAGTATGTATTGTTAGGACACAAATTAACCAGTGAGGGTTGGGGGTATTAGCTTGCTGGGGCCAGAGAGCCTTCAAAGAACAAGTAAATTTTTTTGGCGCAACATTTAAGCGCGAGTTTAATAGGATAACACGGCAAAACACGAGAAAAAGTTAAGTGAATAACTGTAAGAGTTGTTATCCCACAGGGTCCCTTGCATTGGGCGGCGGATCGGAGATAGTGGTGGTGCTCAGGGCGCTAGAGGTGTCGGCGTCCGTTGCAGTAGAGGGGTGGAGAAAATAGTGAAGGCGGCTGTCCAGTGGGTAGTTCGAGTCTCGGAAAGTAAGCTTTCCGCTATCCTCGTCTTCGCCCGGATCAAAATGGTACCACCGATTAGACACCTGTAACCAGCGTTTGTGAAAGGGTTGTCCAGCCTTGAGACGTGAGAAAGAGTGAAAAAACAAGTAAACAAGCCCAACTATCCAAAGAAGAACACCTGCATAAAATACATGTGTTTGCTAGAATGGAAAGAGTCGTCAAATTAGACGTAAAAACACGTAAGGGGTCCCATAGTCCAGCGGTTTAGGACAACAGACTTTGACTCTGTAGACCCGAGTTCGAATCTCGGTGGGACCTATTTTTGCGTTATATTTAGTTGGTTTTTTTCTGCTCGATAACATTTATGCGGCCTTCGGGAAACGTCTAAGGAACCAAGAGGGGTAAATCAGTGCTTAAAATGGCAAGGCAAGTTGGGTGGTAATGGCATTTTTTCATTTTTTTTTCATGAGCGCGGCACTGGATTTTGGCCACTGTTGTATGTATTTAATCGCTGGCCTGTGGAGAATGAAAACAACTTTTTCTTTTCTAGTAAAATTTTTTACAACTATTCTCCTTTTGTGTCTAATTTGGCGACTATGCATTTTTATAATACTAATTTATAAATAGCTTGTTTTATTATCTTAAACACAGTCACCATTGGCAACACTCAAAGCCGTCTGAAATGCCATAGTAAACGTGTGTGCAGGGAGCTCGGCCCAGACCTTGGAGATAAGAAAAAGAACTTGGCCAATAGTGGGAAAGGGCTGGTCAGAAGAATACCAGTCGAGAAGATACAGTTTAACTTCTCTCCTCAGCTGGTGGAGTATACCCCTGTCCAAGGGCTGTAGCTTGCTAGTCATTCCGGGCGTAAAAAAAACTTGACTTGTGCATCCGGGGTAAGCGCCCCAAGTGCCGCCATGCCCCCACAGCCCCTGTGCAGCACAATTATCCAGCAACAGCAGCTTGCACGACTCTGGTCCTTGTCCAATGCAGTTCTTCTTGAAACTGTCAAGCCACTTGCTAAATAAAGCTGACGACAATCCTCCACCAACTGTGACTGTAAGTGGGACGCCAATCTGATCAATGTCGGCCTGGGATAGTCGTGATTTGTGCAGCTCTGAAAAAGTGAATTCAAGTTGAGAACGCATAGAACCATTGCCATTGCACACCCCAATAAATCCCACTGAAATCAACGAACAGCCATCCTCATTCTACAATGTGCAAAAAGTTAAATTAACTCAACTGAGGATACTAAATGTTAATGTAGACAACTCACATTGGTCAGGCGCAATAAATAATAGTTGTTCAAACCTACCTCGCTTCTGGCATAAACTACCAGTGCAGCTTCATCGACATTGTAGATGTGCTCAAGTTCAATGCCTGCAAACTCACTGGAAAAATCGCGCAACCACTGCTCAGCTTCTGCAGCACAGTCAGCAAGCAAGCCACCAGGTCCATCTCTAGGATTAGTCACAACACCTGACCACTCATAAAAAGTAAGGAGCTCAGTCCGCCACCAGCAAGGCTTATGTATGCCAGCAGGCACACCTAGCTTGCCATACTAGCTTGCCATAGATGTTCAGCATACGGAGATAATCGGCATGGCTAAAAGGGCTGCCAACAGTTGAATCCTGGATAATCCAAGCCTCAAGCCACTGCCTTGCGACTTTTTTGTAGGCATTGGATGTTAAAGTTATACCACGACCATAACTGTAAAGAGCCTCCTGACACCAAGCATGTGTAATCGCAGGCAACGGGTGCCTAGGATAGAGCTGGACATAAAGCCACAGTGCCTTTGAGCGAAAGTCCCTCCACGTCATATACCCCTGCTGTTGCAGAACGCTGTACCAATAAGAAATGTGGTTCTTATCCTCGGCTGTAAATCTGCAATAGTACTTGAGTACTAGGTCACTGCTATCGCTTGCAGCCACTGAGCAAGTGTCTCCAGCCACGCTGCCCTGAGCAATGGTATCTGGATTGCAGTCAGGATACTTGCGATAAAATCTATGCTGCTGATTCCAAAGCAGATCAGACTGACGTCTTGGGAAGCGACGCAAAGAGTATTCAATCTTAAGGAGCAGCAAGTGTGGCTCTTGCCTGACATTCAAGCGCCGAATTATTGATGCTAGAGTCTCCCACGCAATAGGAATAAAGCCAAGGAGGTTTGGAACCACACCCTACTCACGTAGGATCATCCCGCATGTTTTGTCAGACAGTCTATCGTTAAAGTCTGAAAAATCAACGTCAATAATGTCATGGATAACAAATTTGACATGACTCAAAGGAGTGTAGTACAAACGATGGGCCTTTTGATACCACTCAGCAATAGCAGCATGCTCACGACAAGTCATTTTATACAAGTCTAATATGAAAGGTATTGTGGACATTGAAGAGAATGGAAAAGAATAAAAATGTGGAAAAGCAACAAACAAATCAAAAAAGAAAAATAGTAAAACAAATGACTCGAGACAACAAATGTTAGCAAATAACATGCTAACGACAAGCCGTGTGGAGCCACTGCCAACAATGATCGCCTCGGCCGATCTGCCCCATGCATAAGGCAATACATACATTGGTTTACAAAGTCTGCCTTTCTGGCTGGCTCCGCTAGGCGACGGTTTTCTCTTTTCTCGGGCCTAGTTTTTTTATTCAATTTTATTTTACTCTAAAACTTATCAATTTCTGTCTCGTCCTAACAAGAGGAATAATTGGGCCAGAGTTCTCACAAAAAAGTAGCTGACATGCGAAATTGCAATCTTTGGCCCTTGTATGGCGTGTTTGACAACCATCAAAGCTCCATCTCATTGTAGATCGACCAAAAGTTCACATGGCAATCTAGATATTTCGCAGGCAGGTCGGGACTATATGTCCATCTCTGCCATCTTGCAGTCTTAGCACGTACCTTATACAGAAGCGCGAGTAAGCAAAGACACAAAAGTTGTGACACGCATGCAGCATCGGTATTTGAAGTAGAAGGTACTCAAAAAGGGTCCCTGTTGAGATGGTCATACACCAAGCGACTACAGAAAGCAACATGCTCAACTATCATTTTGACGACGTGCTGCGCGAGAAGCTAAAACACTGATAGAGTATGCATTAAAAATGCAAAAGCAATAAGAAACAAGCATCGCATGATTGAATTGGTGATTTAGTCGTTTTATTGGAACACTGTATGGGCACAAATGGAGGTTGCCGACAAGACCCTCTATTATTGCTTTATTCGGTGGCACTGTTATGACCCAGGTGGTCAATGACTGGCGGGTACATGATGATATTAATTTATTGCCATGTGGGCAGCGCACTATAACATTTACTACAATCAAAATGTCTCTTGCTCACCTCTTTTTTATCTAGTATCCCTTTTGCATTTTCAAGCAATCTGGCTATGCGCGTACTTTTAGTTTTTGCTTTATCTACAATGCTTTTAGCAATTGCTGCACACTCAGTCGTTGGCGAGGATGTTGAGGACAGCGACGATATTAGCCAGCTGTTGGGAATGCGGCCGGATCTAGCAGATGCGCTAGATGGTAGTGACGCCAGTTCAAGAAGCAACGGTGGTGCTGCGGAAAATACCAACAACCAGCTAGAGTGCATTAATGGGTGCAAGCCGACCGACCAGAGCTGTCGCGCACGCTGCTTGGGAGTTCCAGGCGGGGCATCGCGCAAGGTGCCAAGAAAGCAAGACATTAGCGGAAACCTTCCACTGAACTGGCGAGTTGCCAAGGACGAAGCGATAGGCAGTCCAAAGAAAGAGGGAGTCGACTTTAACAATATTGCAGCCACGACCTC